ATACTCTATAATACCTATAAAATTCTCTTTATTATACATTAACACCTTAAAACTGTTTGTGTCTAGAAATTTTTTAAAAATATTAATTTCATGTATCGAGTAACGAAGTAACGACGTTGCCAGTAACGTAACGCGTTACAATTCTCTGAAGGCTGTAACGGTATTGATAACGCGTTACCGAGGGTAGAGTAACGAGGTAACGGTATCGCGATACATTTTTAAGGTAACGTTAACAACCCTGAAGGGCCCAATTCGGAACCTGTCAGACGACGCAAGGAATTACTAGATGAGACACAAAAAAGAAAAGTTAACTACAGGAGGAGCAAGGCTCGTGACGGGCTCGTCTTGTTATGCGTATACAGTACCATTTGGGGACGTGCTAGACGATATTGGGACGGTGAGGACAATAGCGCGGATGAGGCGATAGTGGGTAGCACTTTGCTATCCACAAATTTACCAGGTCATGAAATTTCATGGATATAAATGGCTTTACTACCGGTTTCTATAGAACACCATAGAATTACGTCTGTGAATCCTGACCATGAGACTTCCTGACTGAAAGGAAAGGGAGATAGGTTTTAGGCTCGGGTCAGGTTTACTTGACATATCTATACCCCAATTTTATGTCGTCCTTCTCTATTGTTAGACAGGGCTGTTTGCTCGGTGGTACGGGCTCTTCGTGGTTCCACAAGCTTCTTGTCCGATCTATCCACGCCCTCTTCGGCTGCAAAATTTGGAACCAGCTTTCTATATGCTGTTCTGTGGTTTTGTACTTTCGGCGGCGTCGTTTGCTTGGGAAAAAGTTCTGGCGGAGTATCGCCCTCTTGTTTGAGGTCCACGATGGCGGACATTCCTTGTAACAATCTTGTCTCTCACACATGAATTGTCAATAAATGAAATCTGTAAGCAAGAAATCGAGGTTCATGGCGCCCTATGCCCCAAAACTTTCGATATCAGGCCGCGGTGCGGTCGGGGCTCGCCGCGTCCGTCGCGCCACCCGCAGCCCGAGGAAAAAGCTACAGCAACTCTTCGTGTTTTTCCCGTTTCTCAAGTGCACGTGAATCAGGCACGTCAAGACTCTGGCCAAACATCTCAAGTTGGCATTTAGTATGCTCGATGAAGCCTAAACGCGCACAGTAAGGAAGTGAATCTGACGCGATTAAGAAGACGAATAGTTGCGCCGGACCGAGTAGGGTAAAAAAATTCCAATTTTTTGAGTAAAAAGGGAAAACTTTGAGAAGCTCCTACATTTGAGGAAAAAAAAAACAGATTTTGAGATGTCATCGAAAAATGTGAAAATTTTTCTCATATGAGGAAAACAGATTTTGAGATGCCATCAAAAAATTTGGAAATTTTTCTCGTATGAGAAGAGTCTAATTAAAAGTTTGAGTTATCGAGTCTGAAATATGCCCGACGTTAACTGTACTGGGAAAAAGTTGGACACGTCGAAAACTAACTAATTTCCGAAGGAATACAGCAAAAGTTAAAATTATAACTTTTACGAGTTGCTTTGGAATCCTAAGCTCCAACTAAAAGAGAGTAGATTTGTATGTATTTTACCAAATTTTAAGATTAATGATGACCCAAAAAGTTGGATCCGTTACGAAATATATCTGTACCTTTACGAAATGTTTCGTAAATTGACACGAAATATTTTCGTTAATTATTTCTTATGAAGCATTTCGTGATATTTTTCTTCGTGAAATCACGAATACTTTTTACAGAGGTACGGACGAAGGGAATCTATGACTCCATTACCTGCGCGCACGCGAAAATTCAAGCTGCGGTTGTTGTGATGGGATGATGATGAAAATTCCGGAAAGCTGATTTCCTTGGGGGGGTGTTCTCAACGCTCCTGACCAGAAACCAGTTGAGGTATCACAATACCGCATTCGCAGCATCGGGTAGAGGTACAAAAGGGTTACATATTCCAGGGGTCCGTAACTTAATACTTAACTGCCTTTAACGTTCTTTTAAGAGTCTAAGTTGAAACTTGAAACTTTTACTTCAGTCCTTTGAAAATAAGTTACGTATTCGCTTTTTCCAACATTTTCTAACTTTTTCTCACGGTATGTACGGATATATCGGACATGTTATAAATTCGGTACGTTTACCTTTGGATTTGACATGTGATTTGTTACGTTAAGTAGCTCACATTCGTTCGTGTGGTGATAAGTTGCGGTGCCCGGACATATTCCGTTACTCAAACACAGGCCGAAAATATACGTGGAGTGCGGCGTGCGCAGCGCCAGGAGGCCTCGCACGGGTCACCTACAGTGTAAATGTGTGGTGTCTAGCTGGTAGGCGGCATACTTTCATAACACAGTAAACATTAATTGTAATAAAGTTGTCATAAAATTTAATGACACTGTTAAAAAACAATGTTATTAAATTTAACGTTCATTTCATTAGACGCCATTGAAGTTTCACTACACGCCCATTTTCAGTGCATGTTATGGCATTTGAGTAACATGTACGTTACGAAATTTCCATTACCTGTTTATTAAGGTGACACGTCTACAAGACTGTACAGGACTGAAACTTAAAAATTTGGGCAAAAAACAGCTTAAACAGTTTAAAATAGAGATGCGCATTGAATAAAATAAAAAAACGCTCTCCAAAGCAATTAAAGTTAGTTCATTGCGTTTTTATAAAGGTATAGTAAGCCTCTAGTTAACTATAACTCTGTGCGCAAAAAGCTCTTTAAAATTTCATAACTGTAAAAAGCTTCTTGCACACACACACTTTAAATCCTAGTGTGATACTGACTGCACGTTTTCTGTGATAAAGAAATATTGCACGATGTTGTGATGATCATCGCAGCAAAAGTAAAATATAAAATTCATTGCTTACATTTGTGATAACAATCACTTATTTGAGCGATACTTT